GTTGTATGAAAATTTGAAAGCAATCGGCTTAGTAGTTTTGGAGTCTATAGTTAACAGACACGGAAAATTAATAATTTTAAAAATATAGATATGCAAATTGGGGGGGGGGGGGGGGAATATAATTTAGTCTCCCTCCCCCAGAAATATACTATCAACTACAATACTATCACTTATAGCAAAAATGCATATTATTTCTTCCGTGTGGTTATGAGACAACTCTCCAGTCAGCCATAGGCTCCAAAGCAGAATTATCCTTAAAAAGAACAAATTCAACACCAAGATCCTTATCAAATCATCTTTCAAGACAAGATTTTGTTAGTTTTTAATAAAACTGAAGCAATATTTCAACTATTCCTGTGTCTAATGGTAACACATTTTTCACAGCTAAAGAGAATAACAAGAACTGAGAGCAACTATGTCTCGAGAAAGATTGCCTCCACTTAACATCATGTAAAGAGAAAGCAAATGTTACACAGCATATCTTTTGATGACGAAATCAATGACTTTGTATTTGGGAAATCAAGGGGAAAAAATAATGTATTCAGTTGTAACTGAGGCCCTTTTCTTCTTCTGCCCTTCTAACCCTCAATGGAGCACAGGCTCTCAACCATCTTGTGACAGAGACACGCACACACACACGGACATCCATTGACGATATCTGACCCGTGTAATTTTGTTTGCATGTTTGTCAGTGTATGTTTGTGTGTATTTGCTTGTGTGTCTATGTGGCTGTATGTATGTGTTTCTCTGTGTGGGTGTCTGCATGTTAGTCTGCATGAGTGTATGTGACTGCGTGTGTCTTTCTGTGTCTATGTGTGTATTCTGTGTGGGTGTCTATGTGTGTGTATTGTGTGCGATGTGTTTAGTGTATGTGTCGGTGTGTATATGTCAATGGATGTCTGTGTGTGTGTCTGTGTGTTTGTGTGTGTATGTATCTGCATGTCGGTGTATATGTCTGTGTGTGTGACTGTATATATGTGTCTGCGTGTGTTCGTCTGCGTGTGTGTGTTTCTATGTGTTTGTCTGAGTGTGTGTCTCTGTGGCCGTCTGTGTGTGTTTGTCTGCATATGTGTTTCTGTGTGTTTGTCTGTGTGTGTGTCTGTATATGTTTGTATGTTTGTGTTTGTTTGGCTGCATGCGTGTCTATGTATGTGTCTGTGCGTGGGTGTCTGAATGTTTGTCTGGGTGAGTGTTTGTGTATGTCAGTGTGTGAGCATGTATGTATATATGTCTGCTGTGCGTCTGTTTATATGTATGTGATTGTGTGTGTGTTTATATGTATGTGTCTGTGTGTGCCTGTATGTTTGTCTGCGTGAGTGTGTGTGTATGTCAGTGTGTGAGTCTGCATGTGTGATTGTATGTGAGTCTGCGTATGTGTTTGTATGTGAGTCTGTAGGCGTGTCTGTGTATGAGTCTGCATTTGTGTCTGGGCTTCTGTGCGTGCCTGTATGTATGTATGTATGTATGTATGTATGTATGTATGTATGTATGCATGCATGTATGTGTAAGTGAGTGGCTGAGTGTGGGTGTGTGTATGCGCGCGCAGGATTTTGCATACAACTCATGCTTTTGTGTTCTTTTATGATATTCATAATATGCATATCATCATATGATCATAACATGCTTCATTAGTAAAATACAACTGCTGTGCGAAAGATGGGTGATTGGAAGGGCGGAATGTAAGATGGGCCTGCGTGCCCAATTTGTGACCCTGTGAAAATTAAGTTTGTTTGTTCATTCTCTTTCCATGTTGTCTCGTGGATCCCTCTGAGTCACCCGGAGGACTGACATGCAGTCACAAAGGAAAACAATTTTGCTGTTTTTAACTTTTCTTTTCTTAATTAAGCACTTTACTGAATCAATAATTGCTTGCTGCTCTGCTCTGAAATTTGTTGAGTCTTCTGAGGTGCACGATGCTTCTATTGTGACCCATTCTTGCAGCATGATAACCAATCCAGCTCCTCCGGTTTTTTCTGCTCCCTCCAATGATCCATTGGTGTATACATGTGTCCATTTAGGTTTTGGATAACAGCTGTAGACATGTTTAAGGGTCTTTGCATGCAGTACTACGTCAAATTCTTCAGCCTTTCTGTCTATGCCTAGAATTATTTTTGTGACTGTATAGTTAGGCTGTAGGTCTATGCTGTATGCCTGGATCATTTCCCATGTTGAAGGATCTTTAGAAAGAATGTCACTGTCTTGTGTGTAGTACAATTTTGGTAGATGGTGAACGCTTTGTCTTTTTCAGTCATTTTTTAGTTAGGTTATTTGCTATTCTGTGTATGGGGTTGTTGTTCATGCATTTACATTTTTTGTTAGGGTAAGCACCTTGTCTTCCCTTCGAAGGCTCGAGCTCTGGAGGCCAAAATTTGCTCATGGTTAGTGTGCTTCTCACACCTCCAGTGATGATTCTGAGACTAAGTGTTTTGTATTTTGTCCAGTTTTTGTAGGTTTTATCTGGCTGCTGTGGTGTATGGTCCCATACCATACTCCAGTTTTGGTTGTACGTATCCTGTGTATACTTGTCGTACAGTGTTGGCATCTGTGCCCCAGCTTGTTCCAGTAAGTTCCTCCATAAGTCTGAGCCTCAGGGTAGCTTTCCTTTGCATGTCTTCAATGTGGAGTCCCAGGTTAGTCATTTGTCATATTTTACTCTGAAATATGCAGGCCTATCCTCTTTAGGAAGGATGTTGCCTTCTAGGTACAGATCAACTTGTTCTGGCTTTGTGGAAAGAGAGTTGATATGGTTTTGGTCTGGTTTATTGCCCCAAGAGTCTGTCCATTTCTTAACTGCGTTTATAGCTTCCTTGTTTTAGCTGTCCCTATATGTTCAGCTTGGGTCCATATGGCCTGCGTGTAGGGCTTGTGAATGTGTCGGGAGCTGTTTTGGGAGGTCTTTGATGAAAAAAATAAACAGGGTAGGAGATTTAACACCTCCATGGGGGACACCTTCTTGTAACCTGACCAGCTTGTCTTGTGTTCTAAAAGTCTGACTCTTGCACAGTGTCTGTAAAAAAAGTCTCTAATCCAGGCAAACATATGCTCTTTTATCCCACTGTATGCTATTTTTAATAAGTCTTTTCTTCCAGACTTATCAAAGGCTTTGGTCAAGTCAAAGAAAGTAGCTAGCAGTTTGTATTTTTTTCTAGAAAGCATCAACTTCCTGTGCAAGGTAAGAGGTTTGGTCATCAGTGCTTCTGTATCTCCTGAAGCCTGATTGGCTGTCATCCAATATCTTGTTTTCTTCCAGGAAATTAGGTAACCCTGTTGATCACTAATCTTTCCATGGTCTTTCCAAGGCACTTTCCATGGTCTTTCCAAGGCAGGTTAGGAGGCTTATAGGGCAGTAACTAAATTTGATTTTCTTAGGCTTTCTTTGTTTGGAGGCAACAGAGATGTTGTTCTTGAGAAGAATGTTTAGAATATCTTGGACTGCTAGAATAACCAACATTGAATGCCTGGAAATGGCTAATGAAAGTAGAACATTATATACAACAATGAGAAGCAAACAAAGGTTCTTTGGTCATGTAATTAAAAAAGGAGCACTGGAAAATATTGTGATGAGTGGACAAATCACTGCTAGAAGATGTAGAGGCAGACCAAGTGAAATGATGGTAGATGGCTTAAGACAATGGCATGGAGGAATATCATCCGTAGAATTGATCCAGAACACAAAAGACCGAGCTCTGCGGCGACGCATGAACGCCTATGCCAGCTGGTGAGGCACTTGATGATGATAATGATGATGATGAACCAACACTGTAAGGTTCTCATTATTCTTACTACTCTTAATGCTTTCACTCACATAAGAGTTACAATAGCTGCTCATCAAGGAAAATAATTATATCAACAAAATCACAAATACAGCATTCACAGGCACCAAAATACATGCCTTTAAAAAGAACAAAGGCATCAGTTTTTACTCTACATATAAAGTAATCAACTTGATAGGATGAAAGTGAAATAAAAATCAGCTTCTTTTTAACATACACAGTAATTAAGCTGGCAGAACGAAATAAGTGAAAACAAGATCAGCCCCCCGTTTTCACATAACAAAGTAATATGACAGAAAGAATTAAAACAAAAATCCCTTCTGTTTCACTTAAAGGGTAACTAACTGGCTCGGTAAGATAAAATGAGTTGAAAACAGAGTAGTTTCTGCATCATATATAGAATAACTAACGTGGCAGGAATAATTCTGTTATGCCCAAAATAGTTCCTGTATCACATAAAGTGTAACTAATTTGGCAGACAGAAAATAGACAAAGTCAGTTTCTGCTTCATATTAAGTAACAAACTTGGTAAGATAAAGAAATACACAAATTACTTTCTACACTAAATACAGGGCAACTATCTTATTACAATGAAATCAGATTAATCAGTTTCTGTATCACATAGAGTAATTAATAAATTAAGATTAATGTGTAAAATCAAATTCTGTTGCTCACATATGGAAGAAACTTGGTAAGATAAAGCAGGACATATTTTTCTTGTGAAAATTCCCATATGGGTTCTGAGACCCCATTTTGAGGACCCCTTCCCCCCCCCCTCCCCCCCTCCCCCCCCCCCCCCCCCAAAGAGCAGACCCAGTCTCTTAACAATGCATGCTATTAAAAGTAACTAATTAAGATCTGGTGAAAGTGGATATGTTGAGCCAAAAGGCCCAGGTACGATAGCCTAGCTGTGATCCACAAAACAAAATGCTATCTGCATTTTGATAGATGGTAGATGAAGCAGCAGCAGCAATGGTATAAAACAATGAAGAAGTAGCCAGATCTTGAAAACGAATGTGTGTGCAAAGCTCAAGTGCTGGGAAAAGACCAAAGTTCTGATGTGGACAAACAACTAGAACTTTCCACCAGAGTTTACAGCCAGTAAACGCTAGGAAGGAAGGAAGGCAATAGAGTATTAGAGTAACTAACAACTAACTTCATAAGATTAAATACGTTAGGCCACTATTCAGCTTTCCTTCCAAGTATTCATCCCAGCAGCCTACTTACCTCATCAACTGAAGTCAAAAACTGTTCGACTATGTCTGTGTGTCGCTGAAACGGAAGTGGGGGTAACACATTATCTGGGTCGAACATAACAGGAGTCTCTTCATGTGCGTTCAGTATCTGGCTCAACCTCTGTGTGTTGATGCATGGCCCAACTCTGCCTGGCATGGGAAATCTCTTATCTTGGGGGCCTAATGGGCCTAACAGATGGTCAGGCCATACAGTCTGAGTTTCTAGAGAAGAAAGAAAAATATTAACTCATTAACTATAAGATTAGAAAACATGCTGCAACAAATTTATTACATTTTGTTTCTCTCGCTTTGCCAAGCTCCCAGGTCGACCCAGCCTTAAATGGGTACTAGTGTTGTATATGATACACCCTAAAGTTTTACCCATTTCATATTATTTGTACCCTTGTAACTAGTTTGGATCTTTGGTTTATATATGTGACACTTTCTCAATATCCACTACTTTAAGTGGATAGTTAGGCAGTCTTGGCCAGTTTATGTTGTTTCACACAATTAAATTCTTTCTCTTATTTCTTACCTTCATCAATTCCTTTTTCTCACCTCACCATATCATCATATCTTTATTTATGGAGATTTATATATTTTTGTGTGTTCTGCAAATGATTTCGTTTATTTTTCTTTAATTTTCTCATTACTATCACCACATAAGCATTTTTTTTATGTCCATAACTTATTTAGTTGTTTTTTTTAAAATGTCTTCCAGGGGTTAGGTTTGGTTTTCTTTCCCGTTCATACAGGGTTCATGTTAGCAGAAAAGGGTCTTTTGTGTTTTTCTGAAAGCAACTTAGGCACACAGGTGCAGTAAATCTGGCTTTTCAGTATCCAAGTCTTAATCTATATAAATTGTTATTTGCTGGAATTTGTAGGTTGTCTGAGGCTTGTGATTTCAGGGCGGGTTCTCTCAAATATACCCGTGACAGCTACACCAAATGGCATTCCCAGCGGCCTTGTGCGGGTAAGGGATGAAGTATTTGAAACTAACTTGTTAAATATTACAAAATAAAAGCCTACAATAAATAATAATAAAGTTAGTGTGAACCCTTTATAGGATATTGCAGAACCGACTCTAGCATTTTCTGAATTTTTTTGTATTTTACTAGTAAATTTTACAATCAATAGTTTGCCATTTCCCTCTGAACAGTCAGCATTCCATACGTTTGTTGATATCAATACAAGGCGGTTTGCTCCAATATCGCATGCAGCTGAAATAACCCTGGGCATTTTGGAATTATGAAGTGTGTTCACAACGTCTAAGGTGCAGAAGCCAACACAGAATGCAATGGCAGCTTCATACTGTAGACAGAAATGATGTTCAAACTGAAATTTCAGAATCTCAAGTTGAAAGGTGGACAATATCACACTTACTTGAGGATTCATCAGCTGGGTCTAGAATCTGCATGTCCAGAATGTCTGATGCTGAAGAGAAAGCTCTGCACCCTCTCCCAATTAATCGAAGAGTTGGCATGTGCAACATCAATTTAGATGAATGTATCAACTGAGGAAAATAAATGATACACTTAATATTATTTATTCTAACATTAGTTCAGAAAACTGATGCCAGTGCAGAATAGACAAAATTATAGTAGGATAGAATTACTAATATACAGCTTTGAGAGAGAATTAAACAAATCTGTGTGAATCAAGAA